AGTAACGGGTTTGGTTCTATAAACCAACAAATCCCCCCCTTTTCTCTCCTGATACATGAACTAATACATAAACTCAGGGTACATTTTGATTTCATAAAAATATTTAGTCTTTGTATTAAACAATTTAAGGCCTATCTGTGAACAAATAATGGGATTATATGAACACTTATAAAAGACTGCTAGGGCTATGGGTTGTTTCATTGTCTATTAATTGCTTGATTTATTGATTAATAATTGTCTGTAAAGTGAAACATTTCCAAAAGTTCAATCTGATGTCTAATTTTGAACCAGGACGTTTCAAGTTGGATTAAAATACTCGTGAAAAGTAAGGTGTTGTAAATTCAGTGAGCTACAGCTTTCAGACATAAATTCAACTTTTAAGCCTCACTTTCAACTTAAGCTGGCCTTACACTGGAAGACTACGATAAGTTCTAGAAATGTTGAAATATTAAAGTCTAAAGATGATGGGTCATTAGAGTTTTTAGTCACTATTTGCCAAACTGCAACTAGATTTCTGATGACATCAGACAGACATTCGATCACTCCCCAGCTCCAAACGAACCGTGCCTCCGGAGTCACGACGAGCGCAACAACTGTAGCAAGACTCATGATTTTATGAGACCCGGAGTCACGACGAGCGCGACAACTGTAGCAAGACTCATGATTTTATTTCAACACTGGAAACTTGTCCATGATGCAAAAGTGCTTGAAAAGTCATCATGTGTGAGGTTGGCATTAGTATAAACATTTTCCTCCTACACAGTTGTGTGGTGTACTGCATTATCAAAAAGGACTGAGTGCAGTGATGTACCAAAGTCCAAAAACTGCCTGTCTGTCCTGTACACATACCTAAAGCACATTTACCTGCACTAACATACATTAAGGATTAGGAACACACCTGTTTGTGCGATACCATGTGATGCTGCAGGGAGGTGTTAATCATTAGTTTTGGCTGTGACAGGTGGGCCGGCTCATTCCAGGAGGTGACTGTTATGCTACTGTACTGCCCCTCAGAGAGATTTTCCACCCAGGTGCACGCTCCTGCAACAGCTCCAGCATTTAATTTTTACATAAAGGTAGGAACTGATCTGTGAAATCTTTTTTCATTACACTTGTGCAAATCAGAAGTTGCAATGTCAGTGTGTTGAATTCAGTGTAAATCAGGAGACGACCTAAAAAGGTATGAAATCTGAATATATGAGGTTTTGGTTACATGTATATGCTCTGAACTGTATCATTTTGTGGTCTTATACAAACGGAGACACTACAAAAACTGCCTATTTTACTTCCTACTCCAAAATAAATGTTTTGTAAAATAAATGCATATTCCTAAATGTCTTTAAAGTACTGCATAAACAATGATTCTGCTTGGCCACTTACATACTTTTATAAAATTAGAGATTACTGGCTGTTTAAAGTTGTCACACTGAAGTGAAAAAAAATGTATGTAAAGGTTGTGTACAGCATTACCAACAATTGGTAATCTGAGCTACAGTATTAAGAGCAGTAATACAATGCCTGAAAGGGTATAAAAACAAACCAAGATGTGGTCAAGGTGATGTGCAATGTTTGCCATCACGTTTCACAATGAAATCCGAACAAATCAGCTAATAATGCATGTACTGTAAACAATATATTGGCTGATTATGTCTTTAAAAATACCCAGCATTATTGGTGTTTCATATTATTTGGTAAAAAAAAAAAAAAAGAAGTGGAGGAGTTTTGTATGTTGGAGAAGGCGTGAGCATGTGAAAATGCACTGCCTCTGACACAACCACCGAGAGACTCTGAAGGTCATGTCAGTCCTCAAAAAAACAATCATACAGTTACAGTAACAAAGGAACATCAAAAGCTGACTGCTGATGTGAAACAGACCAACAAACAGCTCCTTTAAATTCACAAGCACAGGGATAAGGCCAAACATAAACCCTGAACAGGTAGAGAGGGCCGAGACGCCGACAGACACTCACACAGGAATAAACACCTAATTGACAGTACGTCTTCTACGACAGATTAAATCCAGTATCCGGCTTCACGTGCTTCCTCTGTAAAAAGCACCATTAAGCTATTTCTGATGAAGCAAAACCAAACCAAACACGTGCTGTGGTTCACTTGGTGCTTTGAAGCTTGGACAAACCATTAACCTTCAGCGGCAGACTGTTAAAACAGACTCCTGAGTTGATTATGAAATCTCAGCGCTGAGATCCAATTTGTTGAGATGGAAATATTTTAGAGTGCTGAGGCTGTGAAGGTCATTAGAGGTGGCAGAAAGCCTCAGGGTGAAGCTACGATTAGCCACCCGTGTACACGGTTCTATTCCAGTGAACCACAGATGGGTGACACAGTGTCATTTGCAGTAAGTGACCATGTAATAGAGTTGTAAGTGCCCGGAGCACGAGAGGAAACAAGCCAATTGCCTAAGTTGTTTCCAGAGTTCATACCTCGATTCCCATTGTCAGCAGGAGGTGACAGACCTTTAGTCTAACAAGAGGACACTGTTAATGTTATTGTAAAAACAAAATGATGTGAAGCACATAAATATAAAGCCTCGGCACTTAGTGCAATGGAATATCACAGCGCAGCAGCATGTGTTTTGGCTGTTTGATGTGATGTCTGTTTTGTACACAGTGCGACTTGTTTCAGGCTCCACACATGAGCAGAGGGAATGTGAAGAAAACAGCTCAACCTAGTGGGTCAGCACAACACAGGGAACTAAATGTACTACTGTGGCTAACACCACATGATACAGTGAAAACCAAATAACTTTTAATGCCTTGGATATTCACTTAGCATGAAGATCACTTCATGGTCTTTTCATGGTCTATTACACCTGAAGCAATCAGGGTCAAAAAATCACTCCCACAATAAATACATCACAATAAAGAAGTAGAATTAATGGTGGATTAATTATGACTTTTAAGAGTTAGTTTGTTAAAGTTGTAAAACCAGAAGAAGCAGCAGTAAGTGAAATCCCAACTGACACCCCTGGTAGTGTTACTGAGGAGATACAGACAAATGAAAGTCTGAACAATCTCTATATAGCAGCTGCAGGTCTGATATCAGACTGATAACCTGTAAATACTGGACTAACACAGAGTCAATTGGTGTTCCAACAGGATGCAGCGTTCTTCTTCTTTCGTCCATAACGGGGACTTAGGAAGAGTGTGCAAAGTTAATAGGATGATATTTCTCTGACCTCATAGAGTGAGCTCCAGCCAGGAGCCGGTCAGATAGTGGTGACAAAAGACATCCGACTGTGGCACAACAACAGACTGCCTATTACTAAAAAGATGTTTAAAGTTGGATTAAAGCGTAAAACTGTGCCTGTACCACTTGATGCATTTGCAGATTTTTAGCTTTAGTTTCAATTATCCACATTTTATGCAGAAAGACCAATGGAAAGTTGGTGTTTGACTACAGCCTCTTCTCACAAAGGAATTTTGTAAGATCCATGAGCAGTAACGCAGTAAATGTAGTGATTTTTGCAAACTGCTTCTAATATGTGGAGTTCAGCTGAGTGCAAAATCTAAGGTGTCGATCATACAAGAAACATAAGTAAATCTGTAGCACAGAGTGCCACACGAGCAGCAGGGGAATAAAATAGCAGCAAAAGTGAGGACATTTACAGTGGGTCTTGCATCTCCAGGTGACTGAACACGCTATGATTAAATGTACTGACAGAGTACAGAGAGGCAGGAAAACCAGAATCATACATGGTAAACACTCCCAGATTGCCATGATAAAAAAGACCTTGACAGCCATGAAAGCACAGACCAAAAAATGTAATTGGAAACAAAACGCGTGACTGAAATTATGAGTACAACCCAAAACAGAAATCACTAAATGTTTGTCTTGTTGTCAACAAACTACTGATCGATACAGCAGATACCACAACAGGGAGAGCAGGAGGCTGCGATTTCAAAAATAACCTGCTGTTTGGATTAATGGCTCTAAAAAATAAAAAGTAGGAAAATGGACATGACGAGTTTAGGTGAACGTTTGTTAGCCCTTTGGGAGCATTTGTAATAATGTGCTGTGTATTGATTTTTGTTTACTGCATCTACAGTTCCCCCTGCCTGCTTTGGTCAAATTTACAACTATAGAAATAAATGCTTTGTCATAGTAGAGTCAATGAAGCAGAGGTGAAACTCACATATTGACTGAAATGTGCTTTATTCTGAAATTTGTATCTCAGTACAACAGCATGTGCACATCTACAGCCTTCGTTCTGTTTAAGTATTTAATGTATTAAACTTGTATTTCTACAATACACCTTTACACTGATACACAGGCCTACTTAACCATGACAGAGATAGGATTTCTTTGTCAGCTTTCACTAGCTGTTTGGACTCACTGGTAGTGTCGCCCGTGTGCTCCTACTGTTATGATCTGCACCGCTCCAAGGACTTGCTCTCAGGCTACGTCTCGGGTCAGTTGAACTACAAAGCAGCTATGAAGCTCTTAGTCCAAACTGAAAAAGTTGCCAAACTAGGGCTGAGGCAGTGATTTAGCCCTGCATTACAGGTCAATGCAGTCAAAAAGAAGGATAAAGAGCAACCCAGAAATTTAGAATTTAAGATTACACCAGGTTTTCCAAACTAGTCTCACAAATTTGCCCAGAAGAGAGAATATTTTCATTGTTTCAACAACAATTACTTTGTTGGTCAATAGAACATGAGAAAATGATGAAAATCCCACTCACAGCATTGTGGAATCCCCAAATGTCTTTTTTGGCAAGCACAGTCCAAAGCCCAAACTATTAAACTTACAGTAATGCAAGACCAAGAAAAGCCATTTGAGAGCCAAGAAGCAGATTTATGTATTTTTCTTGAAAGAGGCAAACTGATCATTCGATTATTAAAACCGTTGAATAATCATTGCAGCTCTGATTCTCATCCACTCCATCAAAATAATTTTCTGATTTAGGAGTTGATATTTACCACATGCTGATGCATAAATCGTTAAACATTCCTCGCTGTCTTCCCTGCAGATTCTGGAAGATGTGTAAAGACTATTCATCTGTGAGCCCCACCGATGACAGTGTGAAGACTGAAACAGGGCCTCAACTAAAGGGTCATCGTTATATGCATAAAGAGGGTCACTGTAATGTCGTGTTCCGCCATGTTCCTGAGGAGTGGCTGCTGTTTGTAACTGATATCTTCACCAGCTTGGTGGAGATAAGGTGGAGGGTGATGTTCCTGGCCTTTACCCTCTCTTACATCATGTCCTGGCTCTTCTTCGGCACCCTCTACTGGATGATCGCGCTTGTTCACGGTGACACCAAAGACAACACAAACAACCCCTGCATGTACGAGGTGCACAGTTTCACAGCTGCTTTCCTCTTCTCTCTCGAAACACAGACCACCATTGGCTACGGCTTCAGAGGAATGTCCGAGAACTGCATGATTGCCATCATCACTGTCACTATACAAGATGTTCTCAGCTGTTTCATCGACACCTTTGTCATCGGAATTGTTGTCGCTAAAATGGCCTCAGCCAAAAAGAGGGGACAGACGGTGGGCTTCAGCCACTGTGCCGTCATTAACCTTCGCGATGGTTACCTGTGCCTTTCTTGGAGAGTTGGGGACTTCCGCCGGTACCACCTGGTAGAGGGGACGGCTTGTGCTCAGGTAGTCCACTCCATGGCGCACACCACAGGAAAAGTTGATGTGACCTACGAAGACCTGGTTCTCCAGCAGAAAGATATTGTCCTGGTCACACCTACGACTATCTTCCACAGAATTGAACCCAGCAGCCCACTTTACAAGATGGGTTTAGTAGATTTGCGGAAAGCGGACTTTGAGCTGGTGGTGTCTTTTACCTACACAGACGATTCCACAGGTATGCTGCATCAGACCCGGACCTCATACACTCCAGCTGAGATCCTGTGGGGTCAGGTGTTCCAGGACATGATCATGATCAGCAGAAAGCACTACAGAGTGGATTACACCTTGTTCAATCAAACCACTAAGGTTGTGGTGCCAGAGGTCAGCGCTGAGGAGTACGACAAGTCTGAGCGACGGCAGCCCTCTCTTCAACATTCAAACAGATCTTCCTCACAGCACTCTCCATGGTCACAGCTGCAAGAGAAACTCCTAAAACCCCCAGTGGTTACAGTGGAGGTGATGAGTGACAGCCACCCTGAACCAACTGTATCAGCATCTCAAACAGACAGGCAGCATCTTGACAGTCTGACACTGCCAAATGACTTCACAAGTACAGAAATATGAAAGCAGAGTCATGCTTTAGGGTGGCATGGTGACTCAGTGGTTAGCGCTGCTGCCTCACAGCAGGAAGGTTAATAATAATCACCTTTATTTGGCTAAGTATATTACACACAAGGAATTTGTTTCCGGTACAGAACCAAAGCAGCCATCTGCGGCGCCAACTCAACAACGGCTCTAACCATCGGGGGCAATTGGGGGTTCAGTGTCCAGACACAGATACCAGACACTTTTACATGTGGACTGCAGGCACCGAGATTTGAACCTCCGACCCTCTGGTTGGGAGACAACTGCTCTACCCACTGCACCACAGTCACCCTGCTCCAGGTGTAATCCCCGGCCGACCCAGGGCCTTTCTATGTGGAGTCTGCATGTTCTCCCTGTGTCTGCGTGGGTTCTCTCCAGGTACTCCGGCTTCCTCCCACAGTCCAGAGACATGCAGCTTAGGTTGATTGGCGATGCTAAATTGCCCGTAGGAGTGTCACCCTGTGACAGCCTGGGGACCTGTCAAGGGTGTAGCCCGCCTCTCACCCTATGTTGGCAGGGACTGGCTCCAGCTGCCCCTGCAACCCTCTTCAGGATGGGTGAACTCATTCTAAGGCTCTCAACCATTTAATCAACATGAATGAAAAGTTCTCAAAATCCTCAGAAAAAAGGACATTTGAACATATCAAGTTCCATGACAACTGGGCAAACTAACTGCTAGGAAGATCATGTGATACATTCAAACGTTTCAGAACAGCTACAGTACCACATGGGCCTTGTGCTGAGTTTGTCTCATCAACTGTTTATATACGTAAAAAGTGATGCGTAAAGAAGACAAGTCAACCAAAACTTCAGTGTGTATGTTACTAATATAAAAAGGTCTCCACGTTTCATCTCTCATGTTACTAGACTCACTATAGGTCAGATAATTTAATGTGAAGTTTAATGTCTGGTACTTGCTGACAGCAGATAAACACATCATGGGGTGTCTTTTCCCGAGTAACCAGAGTTTATATATAAAAACATGAAGTTTCTGCTATGTCTATAGTGGTGAAATCACAATTACTAAGTCACTACCAGAAAGTCAAGCTAATCAAACATTCATGAAACACTATGTGAACTTCTTTGTGATCAAGCTGGTGTATTATCTTAGATGTTTGGAAATTACAAAAATTTATAACCTTGATTCCTTTGTCAGACGATCATCAAGCAAATTTTAGAAAATATTGACAGTATTGTTTATGAAACAAAACCAGTGACAGTTTCAATAAATTGATGTTTAAATGTCTGGTTTGTGTCTTTATTTCCAATAATAACTATCTGTCTAAAAAGGATCGTGGTCCTTGTCTGAGAACAAAAGCTCTGACTGGACAGTGACATTGATGTCAAGTAACCAGGCGCTGCTTTGTAACCTACTGCATCATCTATCCAAAACAGCTTGTGATGTTATAAAGCCTATTAATTATTTATTTAAACAACTTCACTCTCCTCTCCCTCTGCACACAGACCTCATACTGCTGTGTTCAGGAAACAGACACCACCATGACCTTGTGTGAGCACTGCACAGGTGGATTTCTACAGCAGATGATAGCTATGGCTTATACTTAATGTTACAATATCAACAGTGGGTTGATTCTAGGAGGCCCTGCAATATATGTCCATATGTTCTGGTTCATTAGTGGTTTCCACTGGAATAATTTAAAACGTACATTCAAAAATCACAACCAATTTAAACAAAACAAAACAAAACAAAACAAAGCAGTATATTTATTTTATCAGGCAACTGCACAAATAGAAAAATATGGGTGTAAATTTAATCACAATAAGATGTGACAGCTTCTCTTAGCCAGCAATCAATATAATAAAATATGCACAAGGTGAAGGAGTCATATTCTTTCTGAAGCCACTGGGGATTTCGCCTCTGATCCCTTCATGGTGGCAGCGCTTAAAAGCAGCCCGACTTCCCGACTAGAATCTTGTCTGGGGCTGAAGTAAAGCTTGTGTTTCTTCCAGCAGACGTTCCCAGTATGTTTGAGTTTACCAGGTTTGTCAAGCCTCTTTTGTTTTCTGATCCAGCTCAACAACGATGTAATGAACTCTTCACAGCTCGGCCCCATAACTGCCTTCCATCCAACCTTTATTTCAAGGTTTTGTGGTTGTATAAATACTTGAAACTCTGTTTGTGGGACAGTCCTACAGGTCCAGTTACATTTTTATTTCTTTGAAAGGAGGTTGTTTTCCATGTCTTAGTCATCAAATATCACTCAAAACACTAAACAGATTTCAGTGAAATTTAGTGGAAAGCTAGACCTTGGGCTAACAACCAAGTGACTACTTCCAGAATCCAGACAATGATCAAGAGTTTTTCTTCACATTGGCAATAACTGAACGGAAGAAAAGTCCTATCATTACAATAATTCAGAATCTCTCTCTATAATTTTAAGTATATTTTGCACAACTGTCAGTCACTCATGAAAGCAGCTAGGGCTAGATCAAACTGTTCTTATCATAATCATTTAGTCTTTAACCTTTTTTTTGTTGCTGTTGATCAACTAATTAATTGATTCTAGAACCATCCCACGAAACGCTGCTATGTTCATGTCAGAAGGATGGTGTCCATTATGTGAGGAGTTTTTACCAAAAAAGTGGCAGCACTGGTTCACAAGTGCATTTCATGTCAAGTTTTATTTGTATAGCCCAATATCACAAATTAGTTTCAAGGTGTTTCAGTTTGCAAACACACTGCATCCTAAGACCCTTAAACGGTTAATCAACATAATAAAATATATAAACACAATAGCTTTACATTCATTTGTGCAAGAACACAAAAAAATTACAGTATATGTACAATCTAATTAAAACGCAGTATATTTTATTCTGAAAGGCATTCTGCAAAAGAAGTACTTTTTTCATGCTAATACTTCTGTTACTTCTGTACATGTACAGTTCTGAATGCATGACTTCAAACAGAGTATTTCTGCACAGGGTTCTTGCCTCCTCCTGATGCTGCTGCTGCATGAAGAGTTCAGCATCCTCCTCCTGTGTCCCGTGCTGCTGTTTGCTGCTTGCTCACATTACTCTCCGAGCGCTGTGTGTGGGAGGCCATCACTGGTTAATTCCAGTCTCCAGCTCTCCACCTTGTGGTCCACACGCAGCACTGGGCTGCATGCACCCCCCTCCTCATTGCTGGAAATTAGGCATGGAAAGCAAACACACAGACATGCACGGTTCACGGACACAGGTGGTCTCAGCTAAATATAGGGGCTGCTATAAATAACCAGAACTAAAAATAAGACTCACAGGGATCAAAATTAGCTGTTAAGAAAACCTTGTTGAAAAACATGCAGTTGTGGGTTAGTGTTTATTATGAATTAGTAAGCAGGAAGAATGACTTAGGTCAGTGGCTTAAAGACAACACAGCTACAGCCTGAACTAAAATTATAGGGCAGCAGATGCATAGTCTAAACAACCGAAGCAACTTGATAGCTCAGTGGAGAAAGACAGTCATATCATAATACAGGCATGTCGGCTTTTATTGAGTGAGTCATTCTTTCCGACAGAACACATTTTCCATACCCACATTTAAAAAAAAAAAAAGATCTATAAAAACAATGGGTATCACAAAATTAAAGTGATGGGCAGTTGTTCTACACAGAAACAAGAAAAAAAAACATCTGCACACTGAAAAGAAATACTAGAGAAATAAAGAAAGAAAAAAAGAAAGAAATTGATTATATATAAGCATAATAAATTTATTCTTTTAGTATTTTTATTCAGTGTGCAGACAGTTTTTCTCTATTCCCTCCAAGCTGTTGTTATGGTCCTGCACCTGTGCCCAATTTGGGTCGGATGTGCACAGGACCTTTGCCTTTTTCAGTTGTTCTGCACAGCATCAACAGCAGGTGGTGACAGGACCAGGAGTCTCATTTTAATGCCCCTGCAGTCAAAAGATAAATAGCTGTTTTGACTTGGATCTTGGGAATTTTTCTCCCCATTTGGTATCATCAATGTTATAAGTTGTGGAATAGCATTTTTTCTTATTGTAAAACAATGTTGCACCTTTTAGAGGAATCATCCAACGCCATACATTTTTCATCTACATATATATATTACAATTCTATTAAGCAGTACTAATGCTGTTTAGATTTCAAATAGGAAAAATAACAAACTGATGCTTTTCTAACATGTGTTTGTATTTATATTTATTTTTTAACTAGGTTTTGTTCTACCCCTAACTGAGGCTAATCGGCCAATTAACGTCCAATTACTCTCTATTACTCCCTTGCTGTGTCCTGTTCACACATCACTCGCATTGGGTAAACACAAAATGACACAAACATAATGTACAACTGCTGCTGTGACACCGTGTGCGCGCCCCCCCTCCCCCCCTTGCCCGGCGCGGAGCGGGGGGCGGGCCGTGCCGGTGCGTGCTATTTAAAATGCTGTGGGGGAACTCGGTGCGAAGCACATTACTGAGACAAGTCCTCCAGAGACATGGGAGAACAGTTTCACACTTGATCTTGTTCGGCCCAAGTAACAACAAGCGCGTGGAAACGACGCCTGGGATAGCGGATGTCAATAAACGTCTGGATTATATTTCACCACGCTGATTTCAACCGGTCCACAAATGAGCAACAGGTAGAGGAAACATGAGTTTGAACCATTTCTTTCATACAGCTAGTTGTCCGATGCTTTAATAGGAATGTAAGGCCTGTCAGAACCGTTGTCTATCGGCAGCTCATATTCAGTTGTGCTGTCTACACTTTGCTCTGAGCGCAGACTTCCCGGCTTTTACGCACAACTTCTGCTGCCACAGCCGTGTGGCGGCCCGCCCAAAGCTTCATTTAGCTTCATGTTTCAGGTCTTTGTAATAAGCTCTCATTTCTGATGACCTGGTTTGGAGAACGTGCATGTGTCTCAGTGTGCGGGGTGCGTGTGGATGATTGCATCAGAAGTCCGTTCAGTTTTTTCCCCTCGCACCTGTTAACATTTGTCGCTGGCATTTGGCGCACTCTGAGGGGAACACTGTCCTTCTCCTGCGGGTTTAAAATCACGAGTCTATATAAATATAATATTAATACTTAATATTGTTTTAATATTGTTACTGTTTAGTTTTTACCTCAGTTTTTCTCTAAAACAAAAAAAAAAGATACCCTTCGTGAACTCATGCTGAAACAGATTTGGCTGCACATGATTAATTATAGAATGATTTACAACCCATTCTGCAGTGCTTTGTAACATGTAGCTCCATATCAGGCATCATCTGAGGACAGATTACACATGGCTTAACAACGCCGCTCCCCTGGTCATTATGATCAGAGCTATGATCCGCGCTGCTACCAATATGCTGCCAGTTAGCGTCGATAATAACATGAGTTATGTGGTATTTGTGCAAAAAACGTACAGATTGCATCAGTCAGTTTTACTTTGTGCAGGTGTGAAACTCCAGTATGGCTCGGTGACTCGGTCACTGAGTTATATACAGTGTGACGACTTAAAAAAAACACTTTCTAGTTTCCACTACCAGCTTCTTGCTCATCTCATATCTCTCATGCCTCAGACAGAAATCTATCCTAAAAAACGGCCATTGAAACTGTGGCAGGTCTTTTTGATGTTGTTGCTAGGACACCCAAAACTAATGAGTGGTGTTTTAGTTGTGCTGAGAGAATCCTCACAGGGTAGCCATTATGTCAGCAGAGAGAAGAGATCCCAGGGGGCTCTGTGAGAGTCAACAAGCTGCATGTCTGTCTGCACAGCTAAAGCCAACTCACACACGCTTCTTTAAAATAACAGATTTAAACCTTTGTGACCGACATGACATTTGTAACCTGCTTGTGTTCAGCGAAGGTGACACACTGATAAAACTGCATCAGAAAACCCATAAATGCTATCTATGATGATAATTTGGAGGTTAAAGGTTCTTGAGAGGGAATGCCAATAACTTAATTTTAAAGTTGAACAAAACATCTGCCATCCTGTGTTTTAAGAAGACAACGTAAAAATGAGAAATAAGACGAGTTTGCAAGTAATGTGAAACAATCTGGCTTGAAACCCTGCCTGTTGTCATTTATGTAACGTATGCATTTTTAGTTTTTGCAGTATACCATTTAAAAGATGACAGTATGAATAACGATCTGCACATCTGAACTTTCCCAGATCCCACAGTCCAGCAAAAAATGATCAGGTCAACACAGGGTTGCCAAGAAAAACAAGTGGACTTTGTAAATGACAAATAATGGACCTGAGTGCAATTACTGTGTGGCCTCGCTCGGTGAATGTTAGCTCAGGGTTAAATATCAGTTGTTGTCATCATACCGGAATGAAATATTGTTGGCACAGGGAGATGAGGTTTTCTGACGCTGGGTATAAAACCTTTTTTCTCAGGCTGCACGCATGTCTGACTCAGTGGGGAAGTCATCAGTTCTGATAACTTGTCCAACAAGTAACTGCTCAGATGTTGAACCATTAAATTATTCTTTTTGATGGTGATGTCATTACAAGCGCTAAACTTGATTTTAGAAATGCTTCTGATTTATCTGGAACTGGTTTGTCTAACAGATGTCTTCTGTCTCTGTTTTCTCACAGCAGATGAACTGGATGAGGTCCAGTCAGCTGATGAAAGAGGACTGACCACTTCATCCAGGGGGCAGGGAGGCTGAAGTCGCTTCAGCCCGCCTCATTTTGACACCATTTCCTCTGAGTTGGTCCCCCGAAGTGTTTCAAAACTGTTTCTCCAACGCTTTTTCCAGAAACTTAGACTGTTTTCCAAAGCAGAAGCAGCACAGCCCTCCCAGATTGAGGTGATGGGAAGTGTGCGAGCCAGCCGCTACAGCGCTGTGTCACCAGACGACGGCATGAAACTTTCCACTACAGCAGTGCCCAATGGCTATGGCAACGGCAAGAACAAGGTGCACACGAGGAACCACCAGCAGAGCAGATTTGTGAAGAAAGATGGTCACTGTAACGTCCAGTTCATCAACGTGAGCGAAAAAGGCCAACGGTATTTGGCTGACATCTTCACTACATGTGTGGACATCCGCTGGAGGTGGATGTTCATTATCTTCTGCCTCGCCTTTCTCCTGTCGTGGCTGTTCTTTGGCTGCATTTTCTGGCTGGTGGCCCTTTTGCATGGGGACTTGGCAAACAGTGGCCCGAAGTGCATCTCCAATGTGAACAGCTTCACCGCTGCCTTCCTGTTCTCCATTGAGACTCAAACAACTATTGGTTACGGCTACAGATACGTCACAGATGAGTGCCCTGTTGCAGTCTTCACAGTGGTTTTCCAAAGTATTGTGGGCTGCATTATTGATGCCTTTATCATTGGTGCTGTAATGGCAAAGATGGCAAAGCCCAAGAAGAGGAATGAAACTTTGGTTTTCAGTCACAGTGCCACAGTGGCTATGAGAGACAACAAGCTCTGCCTGATGTGGCGTGTCGGCAATTTAAGGAAGAGCCACCTGGTTGAGGCGCATGTGCGGGCGCAGCTTCTGAAATCCCGGACGACAGCAGAGGGCGAGTACATCCCCCTCGACCAGATGGACATAGATGTAGGCTTTGACAGTGGAGTTGATCGCATCTTCCTGGTCTCCCCAATTACCATTGTCCACGAGATCAAGGAGGACAGCCCCTTCTATGACATGAGCAAACAGGACCTGGAGAACTCAGAATTTGAAATCGTGGTCATCTTGGAGGGCATGGTCGAGGCCACGGCAATGACCACGCAATGCCGCAGCTCCTATGTCGCCAGCGAGATCATCTGGGGCCACCGGTTCGAGCCGGTGCTCTTTGAGGAGAAGAACTACTACAAAGTGGACTACTCCCGCTTCCATAAGACATACGAGGTGCCAAGCACCCCTCTGTGCAGTGCCAGAGACCTGGCAGAGAAAAAGTACATTCTCTCAAACTCCAACTCCTTCTGCTATGAAAATGAAATGGCGCTGGAGAACAAGGAGGACACGGACGAGGGGAATGGGGGCAGCGTAGGGCCTGACGGCACCCAAACAGATAACATCTCAGAGACTGAACACAGCCAAGCCAAGGTGCCCCTAGACACTCGGCCTCTGAGACGAGAATCAGAAATATGACTGCTCAGACCTCAGACCTCACTTGAAAGATGTTTTTAGAATCACCTCTCTGCTCTGAAAGGCAAAATGAGCCGAGCTGGGTAGAGGACAAATCCAATGGTACTGCTGTGGGAAGCAGCGAGGTTTAGGACTTCATATGTAAGAGGCTGAACTTTGACTACATACAGTATGACAAAACACAGCACTATGGGCTATGTGCATATTGCAGGACGAATTCTCAGTGAAGTCCCCGTGAATGTGTGCTCCATGTCTGGTGACTGCATGATGATGAACGGGAAGGAAGTTGACTACATGACTTGAAAAACTGCAGGCATGTCTTAGTTTTTCTCCAGCAAGAACAAGAGGCTTTCAGACAGGTGGATATGTAATATTTTTATAGAATATGTTCACAAGAGCTGCTAGAAACTAGTGGAAGTTTAACATAAAGCCCTTAAAGATGTTTTCATTTGACACTTTGTGCATTCACACAGAACTAAAGAGTACACGAAAAGTTAACATCTGAAACAAAGAAGGTACAAGAGTATTTGTTCATGAGCTGGTCTCAACACAGAAGTCCAAATAAACTGCAAAACACTTCTGTATGCAAGAAATGTCAAATGTTCAGAGGACTTTCTTCTGAAATTGAAAGCACTGAATTGGTGATGTTCTGTGTTATCCTTTGCAGTTACTGATCTGAGACTGCTCACTGATGGTCAGACAGGCCTGCTCATGTCAAGACACAGAGCGGGGTAGTATTATCAGCATCAAACTGACAGAAATCCTTTATTTAAATGGAAACAGGGGTAATGTGAGAATCTCAATGTTCTTAAAAGTGCTGCTATGATGATGCTTTTTTTAAAGGTTGATTTAAATAAATGCCAAAAAAGTATTATTTTCATAGTTTTTTGTTTCTTAAAAACACCACCTGATTAAGTTTGGTACAGAGAAGTAGAATGTTAATGGAGTTTTAATAGGGTTTGTTTTTTAAGAATCTGTGTACAGTTTGTTTCCTGTTAATTCTCCCTTTATTGAGCCACTTCATCAAGCTTTAATTTGGAAAATGAGAAACAAGGAAAACGAAGAAAGTGATAAATCAACCAAACTGGCAAAGGCTTTACTGCAGGGGAGATTTTTGTAATGTTTGCTGAAGTAAAAAAAAAATATTTCAGTTAGGGGCACTGCAATGTTTGGGAGGATTTTTAGGCTTTAACTTGAACCAAGAAGTTGATTTGAAGCCATACCCCCTCATGTTTGAACATGAGGTGATATATTATGACAGAAAACCAGATCTCCATCTGATGTCTGAATGTGATACAGTGTTATGACTGGAGAGTTTGTAAAGGTCTCATCTTTGCAAAATGTCAAATCACCAAGTAAAACATTCTCAAAGCCACCTTTTCTCTGCCTACGACTACACATCAGCCTACTGCATAATCAGCACAGTTTTTATTCTGTTTTATTTTACTTGAGAATGTAAAATCTGAAAAAGCGTACAGTAGTTCAAGGCCTAATGTACTGTAACCCTGGCATATAAAGGCGTACTGCAGTAATACAAAGTTGTATCCTACATCTCTCTTCTTTTCTTTTCCCATCACGACAGAAGCCACCAGGCTCCACAGATCCTACATGTGTAAATACCTCCCTCTCTGTTGCAGTTGTTTTGTATCAGTCTTCCAAATGTACTGCAAAACCAAGGAATGTACAGATTTTTGTATTAATATTATTGTTATTATTGTACATGATATTATGTTGTTCTTTTTCAATAAAATGTCAGCGGACAATCAGAATCATGCCGTTACTGGTCTTAAGAAGCAGATAAAACATTTTATAATTTCTGATGATTAGACTAACAGGTGTGATTAAGTCAGGTCAATCAAATTTATATAAAATGTAACAAAAACACTTTTTTAAGGTACTTTACTAACCCATGATCCATCCATTATCTATACCGCTTAATCCTGAATAGGGTCATGGGGGGCTGGAGCCAATCCCAGCTGACACTGGGCAAGAGGCGGGGCACACTCACTCCTACAGGCAATTTAGAGTCACCAGTCAAGCAAAGCTAAATAATGGGACAGGATTTCTATGGAAGTTCAGTATATGAGTTAAATTAGGTTTACCCATTATTTGGCCTCAGAGAGGGGGGTGCCAACTAAGTTTCTTCCTTTCTACGCCTTCCCATGTCATCCACTGTTCCTGC